ATAATATATAAACATATTTTTATATTATGTTATATAATTATAACATATTATGTTATAACCTTCCCAGAAAACATCATAGCAACTTTCTAGAATTTCAATAGGAAGAGGTGGAGTCAAATATCTGTTACCCAGTGACAGACATGGTAAAAAGAAAGAGAGAAACTGTCTCGAGGCCTAGAGAATCACAGTTAGAGCAGAGGTGGGACTGGACGCTTCAGCTCAGACTTCCACAGCTGCATGCCCTGGTGGGGGTGGGGGTTCCTTGGGGGCCAGCCCCCTGAGCACAGCCCCCAGGTAAAGTCTCTCTTCTCTGTTTCTTTTCTGTCTCCTGCAGGACGGCTACTTCTCTCACCGGCCCAAAGAGAAAGTGCGGACCGATAGCAACAACGAGAACTCGGTGCCTAAGGACTTTGAGAATGTGGACAACAGCAACTTCGCGCCCAGGACCCAGCAGCGGAAGCACCAGCCGGAGTCGGCCAAGAAGCCCCCAGGTCGGCAGAAGGAGCGTTTGCAGAGGAAGCTGGAGCCCCAGGAGAAAGCACAGGGACAGGGACGTCCCTTCCTGGGGAAAGGCCCCAAGGAGGCCCTGCCTCCCCGGGAGAGCGCTGCAGCCAACAGCAGCCGAGGGAAGGACCCCCCCAGACCCCCCCACGCCCGGAGGGGCGGAGGCAGCTCCCGGGAGACCAAGTACGACCAGCCCCCCAGGTGCGACATCTCGGGCAAGGAGGCCATCTCGGCCCTGTCCCGCTCCAAGTCCAAGCACTGCCGCCAGGAGATCGGGGAGACCTACTGCCAGCACAAGCTGGGGCTGCTGATGCCCGAGAGGGTGACGCGGCTCTGTCCCCTGGAGGGTAAGTCCCACTGGGCTCTGCTCAGACCTGACGGGTCGGAACACAGGGTCTGGCTGGTTTGGGACTTTGGGGATTCTGAAGTCCCTTGTAAGAGTCCCATTGCCTGTTGCTGGTGCTCTACCCCCGTACCTATGTGACAAAGGGTCGAATCACAGTGGCATTGGGGCCCAGGGGAGCGGCAGGGGGCAGGGGGCTGCGTGCAGAGGACCTGGGTTCTCTCCCAGCAGAGGACTGGGGTGGGGGTTGACCTGGACTTGATGGTCACTGAGCGTGATCTGGAAGATTTCTGATTGGTGGCGTAGACTCTGGGAGCTCTGTGGGGACAGCCTTCCTGTCCTCCTGGCCCCGCAACCCCTTCCTTCCTTGCTTCCTGTTTCTTCTTATCTTTCTCCTCGATTTATTCCCTCCCTCCCTCCTCCCTGGTGCGGGGCGCTCTTCCAGGTGCCCGTGACCCAGTGATAAGTCAGGTCTCCTGCAAGACGCAGGGCAGGCTCAGAGGCCAATAGAGAAGTCACGGGCAGAGTGGAGGGGCCCTGGAGGGGGGAGCATCTTGCACAGGTGAGACCGCACCTGCTTCTCTGCATCTAGAACCATGGCTTGGACGTGGGCATCTTGGCCATGACCCATGCCTTCCCCAGGGCCCACGGGTGGGCACAGCCTCCGCAGCTGCAGGCACTGGCTGAGCCTCATTCCATGGGCCACTGTGTCCCACCCACCACCCCGTGAGGTCAGCTCTGAAGCCCGGAGCCTAATTTTTTTCCCAGACAAGAGACGTAAAATCTTAGAAGGTCCCACAACTTGTCAGCGACCTTCTGAGACGTCACACGGAGACACCCGAGGTTGAGGTGAGCTGGACTGGATGAGGTGTGTCACTTTCTGAGGTCCCCTCCTTCCTCCCTTTCTCTCTATATGAGCAGAGAAGTCCTAACTGGCCCCAGAGTGGGGAGGACCTCATGCCCCTCCACCTGGCTGAGTGGTAGGACTGTGGTCACTGCCGTCCCCACATGCCCAGGCTGCCGTCCCCTCCACCGGTGGACTGTAAGGTAGCCCCTGGGAACCTGCTTACCTTTTATTGTCCCTTGGGCCAGTTAGTAACTATTTGCCTGATGGTTTTGTCCCTGGGGAGGACAGATGGCATCCAAGAGAAATTTTTGTACAGAGTCAGCGCCGTTGAGAGCCAAGGAGGCTGCATTTGAGATGAAGAGCGTGGATTCAGGCCAAGCTCAGCCGCCGGCCAACGCGCGGGGCCTCGCTCCTCTCTGGTCAGAGCTTCCTTCCCCATCCAGGGAGCCGCAGGCATTAGACGCTCTGGGTGCCTTCCTTTGGGACCAGTGTCACAGCTCCTGGTCACCCACATGGTTCATTTGCCCGTGGAAGGCCTGGCTTTGCCGCTGTCCCTCATGAGGTACACACAGGTGCAAAAACGCTTCCTTGTTGTTTGTAAATTCAAATAGCATCCAAAAAAAAATGTTTTATTTTGCTTTGAAGGGAGGAGAGGTGACCCCAGATTATCACTGGATGTCGGATGACCCCAGGGTCTTGGGTGGGGAAGGACACAGAGAAAGACCCGGAAGGAGGAAGGGAACTGGAGGCCAACAAGTGGGGCAGGAATGGACCCACTGAGCTTCTGGGGCCTCCTCAATGTCAAGTTAGAGGTCAGAGAACCAGGCAAGAATCACCTGCAGAATGGGGGCACTTTGGGTCCCCCATGTTGGTACATTCAGGAGCCAGGGGAGACGTGGCCTAGTGGCCTCCTGAAGCAGCAGACCTCAGCCCCCTGCCTCTCTCTGGATGCAGAAGGGAGGGGCGTGGAGAGAAGGACGAGGAGGAAAGTCAGACTAGAGAGACCCCTAGAGAGGCCCCCGTCCCACTGGACGGACAAGAATGTGAGGCCCCCACAGGGGAAGAGACGTATCCAAGGTCACCCCGTGGGTAGGAGAATGCTCATGTCAAGTGCAGCTGACCCTTGGTCCCCACAGGCTCTGCACACCTGGAGCCAACTCACTGCAGATGGAAACTATTCCAAAAAAGTTCATCCCTACTCAACATGGGCTTTTCCCCCTTGTGATGGCTCCTGAAACCACATATGATAGCAACTGTTTTGATAGCATTCACATTATATCAGCTCTTCTAAGTAATCTGGAGATGGCTTGACGTGCAGAGGTTATAGAGTCCACAGCATTTTATTTTATTTTATTTTAGATGTTGATGGACTTTATTTTGTTCATTTATTTATATGTGGTGCTGAGGATGGAACCCAGGGCCTCACACACGCTAGGCAAGCGCTCTGCCACTGAGCCACAGCCACAGCCCCCCCGACCACAGCATTTTATACGAGGGACCTGAGCGTCTGTGGATTCCGGTAGCCTGGTTGGCCAGTGCCCAGAACCAACCCCACAAATCCCCAGGGACAAGGGGACGGGCCTCTGTATTCACTAGTCACATCTGACAGGCGGCGGCCACGTGAGCTCCGTGCATAGACCGAGGGCTGGGGGGACAGGACCCTTCATGTGGTCTCTGTGAGACACTGAGGCCAGCAGTCGGGCAACCTGAACGTTTCAACCAAGCTCATCTCTGTTCTTTGAGCTGTTTGCAGGGAAAATGTAGCTCTGCAGAACTTTCTTTTCAAAAGAGAGATTTAAAGAGAGAGTCTTCCTTTGTCCCTCACAGCCTCCCCCTGGGCTGTGTCTCCAGGTGGCTCCATCTGTACTCCTGATTGCACTTGGCACTGGGATATAGGAATCACTGGGCGGAGGCTGACGTTTCCAAAAGCTTTTGTTAACCTGTCGCCTGGCAGAGAAAGCCTGGGTTGAAGGCCCGCCCAGGAGACTATTGTAGGGCTCCTACTGTATACCAGGCATGCTTGTTCTGCAAATGGCCAGATCGTAGGTATTTGGAGGGTCCTACAGTCTCTGTCACAACTACTGAACTTGCTGCAGTCATTAAAATACAAACACAAACGTACCCGGGTACGTTCTGATGAAACTGAACTTGCCAACGTAGGCGAGGGCCAGGTGGGCCTTCGGGCCCTGGTGGGCTCACTCCTGTGTCGGTTCCGATTCTGCACACAGTGGCTCCTCCATTTAGGATGGGGTCACACCACCGTGGATCCGTCTCGAGTTAGAAATGCATTTAAGGCGCCTACCAGACACCACGGCTTAGCGCAGCCGGCCTGCAGTGTGCAGAAGACTCGGGTCAGCTGCCGCCGGGCAGAGTCATCTAACAGGAAGCCCGCTCGGTGATAAAGTGCTGACGCTCTCGTGTGATTTATTGAATAAGCTCTGAAGCTGCAAAACCGCGTGGCTGTACGGTCGGGTTTTGCTCCCGTGTTAAGTTGAAAAATCATTCACGGCAGCGTCCTGAGCTAGGAAGCGATCGCGCTGGCCTCTAGGACTCTGTCTCCCAGCAGCCGCGCTCTAGCCCCACAGGTAAGTCTATGGCGAACCCATTTTGCCAATGAGGAAATGGAGACTCCAAGAGGTTTGGGACTTGGCCAGAGGCACGTGGCTGGTAGGTGGCAGAGCAGGTGTTGGAACTCAGGTGACTGAGCCGGCATCCCATAAACCAGGCCCTGTGCCCTTCTGTCCTCGGTATATTCACAAAGGAGAAGGGAGGGCATTGCTGGGGGGCATATGGGGGAGGGATGTTGCCAGTGGTTACAAGCCTGGCTGTGAAGCTAGGCTTCCTGGATTCAAACTCCAGATCGCCCCTTCACAAGCTGTGGGACCTTGGGCAACTCGCTTGACCTCTCTGTGCCTTGTTGCCTCCATCTGTTAAGCGGAGGGGAACATGAGCACACCTATCTCAGAGGGTTTGTGAGGGCTGAACACACAGTTAAGAACTTTGCCGGGTCAGCCAGGACTGTGCGTTGCATACACATTTGCTGTATGACTTGCTCCGCAACTGTCCCTAAGTAAATATGGCGTCACCGTGAGCTAGGGGTTCCTACGGTTCTCCTGGTCATGCTGAGACACCTCTGGTGTGGTTCTGCAGGGTGGACTTGCCTGGGTCTTGTCCTAAGGCCTGTACCGCCTCCGCCAAGGTGGCCTGCCCTCCTGGGGGCGCTGAGCTGGTCACGAAGATGGGTATTGAAGCGCCGTCTCCCACCCAGCCCCGGCAATACTTCAGCCTGCTCCACGGAGGCCTCCGCCTCTTGCAATAAATTTACTGTGAATAGACTAATTGCAAAATAACCCTAATTGGGTAGTTATCAATGAACAACTTCCCGCGGAACAAAACGGCTTACAATTAATAGCATTTAAGCCATAAACTATTCTTCTGCAGAAAGCGAAGATGTAATTACACCCCACAGAGAGATGGCGTTCCCTTCCTGGAAACCATGACACCCGGAATTCCCTCTGCTCAGGAGGGATTTGGGCTCCAGCCCCGTGGTCCTCTGATTTCCTGTAAGTGAGGAAATGCAGATGGAGCGGCGGGAAGTTGAGTCTCTGAGGCGGTGTCCAGTACCAATGCGCCCCACGCAGGGGGACGCGCTGTCTTGTCGCTTCACTTGACAACCTCCAGATCCGGCCCGCGGGCTGCCGGACGTTGGGTGTCCTTAAGGAGGCGACCGATCAGGACAGGAAATGGGTTCTCTCCATGTTGACTGTTGCAAAGGGCTCCTGCCACCCCGCCATCTGTCTGGCAGCCGCGACCTCCCAGTGCCTCGGTCTGTCCCCTGTAAACTGGGCACAGATCCGCCTGCCCTCTCTTCTCAGGGGGCTGGCTGCAATGACAGAGGGCATTTGCTTTAGTCCGCTGTGACCAATGACCTGGCAAGAACGATTTGAGAGGAGGAGAACTCTATTTGGGGCTCAGGGTCTCAGGGGTCTCCGTTCCTAGATGGCCGGCTCCATCCCCTGAGCCCGAGGTGATGCAGAACATCGTGGCGGAGGAAAGCAGCTCAGGACCCGGCCACCAGGCAGCAGAGAGAGAGCCCCCCTCACCAGGGACAAAATATAGACCCTAAGGTCATGCCCCCAGTGACCCGGCTCCTCTGGCCACAGTCTCCCTGCTTCAGTCACCGCCCGTTACCCTGGAAGGGGTCATCACACTGATGGGGCCACGGCTCTCCTAGCCCAATCATGTCCCCCCAGACGTCCCCGTGTTGTCTCACACATTTGGGGGGCACCCATACCTAAACCATGAGAGCACATAGGAGCATCGTGAGCGCGGAGCTGGAGAACCCGGGTGGCTTGCAGGACGACAGAGTCCGCGTGGTCATGGAGGGAAGGCACCTGGGGAAGGGGGGGCTGTAAGGGCTGCTGGACGGTGTCCCCCGATTCCCAGCCCCGTCTCGCTGGCTCCGTTCTTCGGCTGGGCCCTGCATGTCACCCTGCGTCCCACTCCACCTACCTTGTTGGCTGCTAGGGCTCAGCCTAAGTGCTGCTTCCTCAGGGCCTTCCCCAGAAGCCGTGGCCACAGGGGACACAGTGACCCTGGGTGAGGGAAGTGCCCCCCCTTTCCCAGTGAAGACTGTTTGGCCCGTGACCCAGAAGAAGCATCGGGATCCAGCTGCCGGGTAGGGAAACTGCTCCTGCCTCATGACATTTGGAACCACTAAAGGTCGGGTCATCCCTGCGGTGGGCCCCCTGGCTCCCCGGGTCCCCCCGCACCTCCTCACCCTCTGCTGGGCTGGTTAAGGCCACCAGGGGTGCTTCAGTCCTGTGGTTCAGCAGCCTGGACCTCAGGAGCTCAGAGTGACATGGCCCGGCACAGTGATTGGCAGGGAGGGTGGGGGGCTGCTGCTTGGGCGCAAGTGGTGACGGCGCATCCCCAGTGCGCGATGGCGAAGGACCACTGCCGGCAAGTCAGCTGAGTGTTTTCAGGGCCGCGGGTGTGACCTGGGAACCCAGGACCAGGTTTGCAGCCTGACAGACGGAAGGGGCTTCTGATGCAGGAACAGCACAGCCGTCCCCCCCTCCACCTCTCCCACCCCCCCCCCACCTCCGCCCCGACAGCCTTTGCCCGAGGCCCGAGGCTCTGATAAATGGGTTTGGGATGGGGATGGTTGGAGGCCGCCTGGCAGATGGCACCGCCAGATGACAAAGTCCCGTGCCCCAGGGCAGGGAAGTAACCACAGGGCTCCAGTAGCGGCTTCTCGGCGTGGGGGAAAGCAGAGACCAGGGTCTGCGTGGCCACACAGAGTGCCCCGGGGCGGGCACCTCGGCCTCCCACCTGTCAGTCGGAGACCCTGCTCTCTCCCAGGTCTCCCAGAATCCTGCGGTGTTGCCCTTGAAGGCGGGAGGGGCTGATTGCATTGAATCCAGAAAAAAAAAAATCAGACCCTGCTCATGGGTCACCCGCTGACTGCCAGGGAGGGCTCAAGGCCACCACGGCCAGTTGGGAGCCTGTGGTCTCTGCCCCAACTCTTCACCTCTCCGCCCCAGAGTAAGCAGCCACCAACCACCTGCAGCCGATGGACCCACAAGGCCCTGATTCGGTGGGTCCTTCCTCCTGGCCACCGGAATGTGGTGTCGCGTCATTTCCACTGGCTGTGAGATGCGATTGGACTTCGGATCCTTTTCCTTTAGAAATGCAAACACCAGCCTTCGAGCCAGACAGGCAGCTGCAGGCCGTGGTCCAAGTCCTGAGATGCAGCCACGGGCAAGAGCAGAGGGTGCCCCGTCCTGTCGGCCCTCCACCCTCCTCTGCAGGGTCGGGCACGGCACCCGCTGACCCCCATTGACAATCATGTGTCACGATGGCTCTGCCCTCACAGCAGAGACCAGGTGACCCCTGTCCAGTACTTCCCCGTTGATTTTCTGGGTGGATGGGAGCCATGGAGACGAAGCAGGCCGTGCAAGGCCGGAGGTGGGCTGCGGGAGCCACCAAGGAGGCGGCCTCAGAAGGCCCCGCTGAGGGAGCAGGGATAGTCCCGGAATGTTCTAGAAGCAGCCAGGAGGCCCTTGGGGCTGGAGCCGAGGGATCAGTGAGGAAATAAGGAGGGGAGAGGAGCCGGCTGCAGGAGGAAGGGGCGGCTGTCCCAGCAGGGCCTTTGGACGTCCCTTCCGTAGGTTGGGATCCAACGGGGGACTGTCAGAGTTGGCCGTGATCCAGGGGCCTTTGTGTCTCCACGTTGTGCTCTTATTTCATGGCGCTGAGGACACTTACTACAAGAGCCGTCGTCGGATCTTTAAGTGTGCAATGCAGCAGAGCTAGCTATAGGCACAGTCTCCCAGGGCAGACCTCCGTAGAATTTGCTTTTCATGCACAATTGAAATGTTTTGCTTTTTTTTTTTTAAATAAATGTTATGGTCTGTATTTAAGGCATACAGCATGATGTTATTATGGTCTGTATTTAAGGCATACAGCATGATGTTATGAGATGCATATCCACAGTGAAATGGATGCTCCAGGGAACTAAATTTGCATGTCTATCATCTCATACAGTTACTTTTTGTTTTTTTTCTGGGGTACCAGGGATTGAACTCAGGGGCACTCGACCACTGAGCCCCATCCCCAGCCCTACTTTGTATTTTACTTAGAGACAGGGTCTCACTGAGTTGCTTAGGGCCTTGCTTGTGCTGAGGCTGGCTTTGATCTCGCAATCCTCCCGCCTCAGCCTCCTGAGCTGCTGGTGTGACAGGTGTGCGCCACCACACCCGCCAGGCTACCTTTTTATTTTATCTTGGTGAGAACAACCCCGGTCAACTCATGAAGCAAAAATCTCCGACACAGTATCATCGATGATAGCGCTTGTGTGGTTGGGTGCTGCCTCCCAGAGTTCATGCCCACCCATCAGCAATCCCCTTCTTCCCCTTCTTCCCTGAGCCCCGGCAGCCCCATCCCGGTCTCCGAGCCTGTGGATCCGACTCTGTAGGTTGCTCTGGAAAGTCTGCGACGGGTTCATTTCAGGGAGGTTGACGTGCTTGGGGCTTGTCCATACTGTGTCACACGTGTCCCTGGGTAGATTGCACACCCACACCGCTCACTCCTCCTCTCTGTGGCTGAATGACACGCCTCTGTCTGCCGGTGCCCTACTCTTCGGCCCACTCCACCGTCCCTGGTCACGTCGGCTGCTCTGTGTCCTGGCTGGTGTGGGCGAGGCCACATGGACACGTGCACCGCTCTCTCTGTGAGGTCCTGACTCCAGTTCCTTCAGACAGATGCCCGGCGAGATCTCGCCCCACGCACGTCGGGATGGCTGATATTTTAAAAAAATAAATAAATAAGCCAGGTGTGAGCGAGGGTGGACGTGGCGGGTCGCTGGGCCTTGGGCCTGCGCGCTGCTGGTGGGAAGCCTGGGGAGCCGTCGGGGGAACAGTCTGGAAGTGACTCGGAAAGCAAGACGGACCTGCCCCGTGACCCAGCCGCCCGCCTCTGACCTGACTGGGCTTTAAGGCAGTTCTAGGGACGGGGACATCATGGGGAGTTTCTCCCAAGGGTCCCAGGGAAGTGAGAGGGAGTGGAGGGCATCAGGTGGGGTGACCGTCACTTGGTCATCAGGGCTTGTCGGTTTTCTTTGGACACAGAGGCCACTCGGGCTGCCCTCTCAGCAGACGGCATTGAACCCCTACCATGCCCCGGGCGGCGGTGGCCCACGGTTCCCCAGGTCCGAGGGGTCCCAACAGGCCAGTTCCTCCCCGCCTTTTCCTTCCAAGACACCTGGGGCCTGTGCCCTCCCCCCAGTCTTGGGGTCATAAAGGAAGCCAGCTGCCACCTCGAGGTTTTGAGAAAGCACAGCATGTGGGTCAGGGGTGTCCCAAGGGCCCTCCGCCTCCTCCCCCGCCCCTGCCTCTCCCCCGGGATGTCCCACCAGCTGTGTGACCACTGTCATTCTGCTGCAGAGCTGTCATTGGGGTGTGTTTGTCCCCCTACCTGCCAGGCCTGAGAGCTGGGCTGAAAGGTTTGGGTGCAGAGAGGAGGAGAACCCCGGCCCCCGGGGAAGAGAGCGAGGGCACTTCCTGCTGGGCCTGGGCACAGCTTCCAGAAACTGCCCGTATGAAGAAGCACTTCCTGTGCAGGCGCATCTGCAGCCAGAGGGTGAGAGTCCGCGACTCCCTCCTGGGCAGGTGCCCGCGGTGGCATCTGGAGAGCCCGCCATCAGGAGTGCATTTCCAGCTCCACGTCTGTGGACCGCGGCTCAGGGCAGCTCTGCATCAGGGGCCCGGGGCCTCGGCTTCCCTGTTTTTGAGGACAGAGGGGCTGTTGGAAAGCACAGCTGGCATCTCCAGGCCGCAGCGGGTGGCCCTGGGTGTCTGCCCACGATGCCTGCGACCTCCCCTCCCCCTGGCCAGGGTTCACCCGAGCACAGCACCCTTGCCTGAGTGGCACATGGAGACACGGGCAGGCTGGGCTCTGTCACCAGGGACGTCGCAGGACATGTGCTCCAGGGTCTATGGTTGGCAAGCTCTTGGGTCATCCACGGGAGCAGAATCAGAGATTTTTCTATCTAATCACAGAGTGAACATAAAATTGCAACCATGACTCTTCGTGCCTTCTGCAGAGACGTGTAGCCATGGTTAATAGTTGAGCCAAGAGATGAAGCATTAACTCAAGGCATGTACTCAAGGCAGTGGCATAAAGAGGCCACAAGAGCATCGTGTGCAAAGGCCCTGTGGTAGGAAGAGGGGGGACGTTTGAGGAACCAGGGAGACCACCAGAGGAGCCATGAGCATGGGCAGGAGGGTCTGACTCCCTTTCCAGCCAAGGTTTTGGTGATCATCATCTTCACTTTGAGCATGGAGAGTGGCTGAGGCATCTCATGGGAGCAAACTGAGGTTGCTGGAGAGAGAACAAGAATCAGCCCCAAAGACAGGCATGGCCGTGGCAGACTGGGACTGGGGACAGGTCCGCTGTCCTCTTTCCTGTGCTCCTTCCACCTTAGGCCCTGACCACGGGTCATCTGGAGTCAGGCACAGCCCTGCCCTGCCCACTTCTTAGCCCTGGACTAGACACAGAGGTTGGTGACTCCAAGACAGCACCTTTCTTCAGGTCTCCCTTCCTGGGCCGGGGCTGGGGCGTGGAGCGTTTGCTCAGCGTGTGCGAGGCACTGGGATTCTGCAAAGAGAGAGGAAGAAAGAGACCTGTTCCCGGTGCAGGACAGGGTGCAGACGCCTGGGGACCAAGGTCGCACCCAATGCCCCAGCAAAAAGACCAGCGGGCTCTTCCTTCTAGCACAGACCTGCGAACCAGCGAGCTCGCTCCTCTTTCTGAAATCACGTGGCAGCAGGCCTAGGCGTCCATGTGGACGCCACTTCCTCCAGGTTCTCAGAAGATGCACACCCTGCCCAGGAGCTCCCCCACCTCATCCCCACTCTCCTTCCCCAAAGCCAGAGGACCAGGGGGCGGAGGTCTCTGGACAAGCACCCGTTCTCCTGCACAGGTTGAGCATGTGCCCCGCACTTTGAAAACTCTTGGTCACCTGCAGAAGCCGCTGCCTCCAGTCTGATGTGGAGGGACAGGTGCAGCCAGGAAACTCACCTGGTGTTGGAAGGGGCTGGCCACACCCCCCGGGACTGGCCTTCCAGGTGGGTCCCTTGGCTCGGGTGAGAAACAGCCAGCCAGCTCCCTTCTCTCTGCCGGTTCCTGGTCGCCGTGGTATATTTGTGTTAGTGTAAAAATGACAAAGCAATAATTTTTCATTGTATCCTTCAGTCACCCATGAGAGATTGGATTTAGGTCACAATTTATTACCCTGTGGAATTGAGTCCAATTTTTAACACCATGTCAGCCATTCTGGTATTAGAGCCTTTTAATGGCTGTGAAATTTATACAATGATAAAGTAATTTAAAACATATGTAGGAAGAACATCAGGCAAATTGATGTGTATAGAACCCCGTGGTAAAAATTGAACAGGAGATAAACACGGGAAATGGTGATTGATTAGGGCACGTTGGGAAGAGCGCTCGCGTTGATAAACTCTTAATGGCGAAATTAGTAAACTAATTTATCCTTCACG